TGTGAATTGCTGATATGATAATTAGTACAAAGGGTTTCGATGATATTAGAGAGTGGTTGTTGTTGCTGTTGTTGTTGTTGTGTGTGCTAAACAATTTAAAATCGAGTTAAAATTGAACATGAATACATGATTATACGCTATAATTTTCAAGAGCTTTCAGCCTACACACAACACAAAAACAAATACATACTTATATGTTAATTGATAGACATGGGTTTCACAATTTAAAGGAAAGACCGAACGTGCATAAATTTGCTTTTTTTAAACTTGATTATGTGCCGCATATGCAATGCATTTGATATCACTGTGCGCCTGCAATCTCCAACAACAGAGAAACAGAGAAATCGGTTTGGTTGGGATTTATTTTAGCTTAGAGCGTTGTCGAGGTCACCGTGCTGACGCCATGCACCAGAATTGTGGGCGGCAGCTCGGCTGTTAGCTCGGTTAGTAGCTCCACATAGCTGGCGCTGCGATCATTAAAGTCCGGCAGCGTGGGCTTTGGCGGCGCCGCCAAGTATATAAACGATAAAGCTGTTTGATCGGAACGATCGCGTATAACTTGATTGACACGCTGCATATACAACAGCGAGCGATTGAATTTATCCTCAGCTATTTCATCGCCATCGTCCAACAAAGCTTCGTCCGCTTGCGCCGTAAATTGTCGTAGAATGCGCGCATGGCGTGTGAACTCCGTGTCCCGGCTCCATTCTTGAATCTCTATAATATCCGCATTAATACGCAGCTCCTTCAGCGATTGCTCCAGCTTCAGCTTGGAGAATATATCCATTTGTGGTGCCTGCGTCTCAAAGGTGCTGCGGGCAGGCGTTTAATAATTAGCCAAAGTTTAATATAAGTACCTTTTAATATTTACCCCACGGTGCGCTCCTCATTTGTTTCGCATAGAAAGATGCGCACGCGCAAATGTTTCCACTTGGCCAACATGATGACTGCCAATTGCATCATGAACAGCGAGACCATGTCAAAGGGATCACCCGATGTGGGATTGAATACGTTAATGGGCCACACATCGATATACTTAACATGCTTGCTTCTGTAAGTTAAGAAATTATATATTTGCTTATGAAACGTTCATTATCAACGCACATGGTAATAAAGTTTTTGTCCAGGCGCTGAAAGTTGCGGCACAAGCACAGATTCTTCTTCATGCGCAGCGTATCGCAGAGGATTTGCACATATTCCTGAACCTCAAAAGGTTTGGATTCACCATCGCGTCGTATGGGAAAGTTTTGTATGTCGCCCTCGTTGAAGCCATCCGTTTTATAGGGGGAGGTGCCACTGAAATTATAGAGAATTATTTAATAGAATAAGGGAAATAAAAATCTGTTACAGATAAATATGGGGAAATATTTTAAAATATATGAAAATATCATTAAGCATAGAAAGGTATGTAGAAAATGTATTTCTAAATATAGGGAAATTTCTTCAAAAGTACAGTGGGAAATTTCGTGAAAATTAATATTGGGAAATTTGATAAAACGTCCCTCTATTTTTTAATTTTAGAATTAGATGACCTATACAACACCCAGCTACTCACTTTTGAAAAAAATCCTTGGGCACCTCATTGTCATAGAAGCCCAAAATAATGGTATTTGGCTTCATGGCGCCAATGCCGGACAAGCGTATCAAATGCTGAACGCCCTCACGGATGCTGCGGCTGATGGTCACCTCGGTGAAGGCCTTGACACGCATGTGATCGAGGAAGGACCACCACAGTTGGTTCTCGACGGCATCCTCAACAGCATTGCAATCGCCCAGCTTGACGTGGCCAATGATGTAGAGGCCGCTCTTCTTCAGATCGTTGACAAAGTCGACCAGCGGGCAGCAGGAGCGCGGCGAGGAGACCAGGAGTAGAATTTGTGGACGCCAGAATTTGACGTGATCTTTGCGTGGATCCAGCATAAGCAGATACTTGCGCACCTGCGAATATCGTGAGAGGGAGTTAAAACTATCAATGAAACCCAATTTGGATTCGCTAACTCACCTGATGGAACATCAGGGCCTGGGAAATGGAGCCCCACTGCGCCGCCTGTGTGGCTGGTGAGAACAGATGCAGCGCTATGACCAAGATCAGGCACAAAATGATGCAGGAGGAGGCATAAATCGGATTGATGACGAACATCATGATCAGCGTGCCAAGCAGGCCAACGAGGCACGTGTGCCACGTGAAGTACTTGAAGAGTGGCCGAAAATTGGGAGCACCGGTCAGCTCAATGCCCAAGCAAGCGAGATTTGTGGCCAGATAGGAAAGCATAAACAGCACCGAATTGATTTGAGCGATGATATTGAACGAGCCAATCAACAGAATGCACTCGACCAGCACCCAGCTGACAAACACGGCACATATGGGATTGCCCTTCCAGGTGCCGTGGAGCACAAAATTCAACAGCGAACCAAAGACCTGATCCTTGCTGAGAGCCTCCAGAATGCGACTGGAACCAATCAGATTGCTCAGACCCGTCGAGAAGGTGGCCGTCAAAATGCCAATGGCGGTAAATGGCGGCCACAAGTTGACTGGCATCAGGAACAGATAATTATTCTGCATGGTCTGATACGGCGTGGTGCAGCTCATCAGGAACGAGAGTATAATGTACGAGACGAATGTAAAGCAGACGGCGGAGAGTGTGCCCCAGGGTATGCTCTTCGAGGGACTCTTCAGCTCACCGGACATATTCGCACCGGCCATAATGCCCGTAACGCCCGCGAAAAGCACACCAAATGTCGTCGAGAAGTCCACATCCTTGTCATTCGATGTATAATCCGTGCCATAATGTGAATCCAGATTCTGCCTCAACGTGTCGCTGCTGAGGCCCGTATAATTCAGAAACTTTGTTCCATTCATTTTCGTATTCTCCACGGGCACGGGAATCTGAAAGTGTATTAGTGTAAGTACATGAGTATAGTATATAGATCAGAGATAGCGGAAGATTATTGCACTTAGTTGATACTCATTTAATTGAATTTGCGGACATGTTAGTTTGTTATCAGCAGCTGCCCGGTGATTCACATTCCGCGTCATTTGTGTACTACAATTTTAGATATGCTAAGCGCTGGTACAGTACAAATTGACTAAGTAAAACGGTTTCTCAAACTTCTTCTTTAAATGCAAGTTGTGCAGCTAAAAATTCTTAATTTAAAGTAAGCTAATTTAACAATATTTATATAGTCGAACTCTCTCTAAATGTTTCTGTCTATACAAGTGAGTCATAGGAAGTGATCACTGTAGTTAAGCACAGAGGGATTTTTGAAGCAGCGAAAATTAAAGTGACCGAGGCCCAGAATAATGCAACAGAATGTTATCTATATACCGCACGACATTATCGTAAGTACATGAAATTAAATAACAATTTTATAAGTAAGTTTTCTACACATTCTAAAAATATTAGACAAGGACTTTCCCCTGCTGGACTGAGACTTCGCTAGCATAGAGATTGATAAGCCTGGCGGGGATTTAGCTGCATGATTGATTAGAATTCCCATTGCTGAGGCATGCGGGCATAAGCTCTTACCGTATCATTTGTGGGGCCCTTCGCCAGAAAGCTGATATACGTTACGAAAAGACAAACTGTCACCGCTCCCAAAATAATCACTGACGTCTTGGCAAAGAGGGCGGCGCCCACCAGGCACACCAGCAACATGCAGGTATTGATTAGGCTGCTAACTAGAAAGCGCCACCATTTCCCATCGGGCAGATGGGAGCTGGCCTCGTTAATGAAATGACCGCCAGGACCAAAGTTATCCATAACGCCCTCCGTACAGCCGGATATGGCCATGGCGCAGCCCACAACATTCGCAAAGAAGAAGAGCGTGCCAATGGAGCCGCCAAACTCGAGGCCCAAAGTGCGACTAATCATAACTGAAAAAAGTCCAAATTAAAAATAGGCAAAGCTTTCCCATATGTGGGTACTCACAGTAGACGCCGCCGCCCTCCACAGCTCCATTGGTGGATATAGCGCAAACGGAGGCGACTGTAAATAGTAAAATCGCATAGGCGATGAGGAACTGCAGCAATGTTACATATAAGCCCGCATTGCCGACAATGTAGCCTGTGGGAGAAGAGAAGGTGGGAGGGGGGAAAATGGCACCGTTAGAGCTAACAAGTGTGAGATGTGACGTCACACACACTCACCCACACGTATGAAGACCAAAGCGCTGAACATGGAGAGCGCCACGGGACTGAAAACGCCTGCGAATGTGCCGAGCGTGCGTCCGCTGCGCTCCGGATCCTGCATGCCGAACTCCACGTAGCCATCGCTCGACTGCGGCGTTATGGGACGGGCACTGTCCGCGGCTCCGCCGCCGGCACCAAAGAGCGAGCCGAAGCTGCGAAACATATTCGAGGCGCTGCCATTGCGCGGCGCTGCAATGGGCGCCGTCTCCTGATCCCTGCTATTGCTCATGGCAGCTGCCAGCTGCTAGCTGCGGGAAATTAACTGACACGCACACACACACACACAGGCACAAAGCGTTATACGCCCACAATTGCCGCAAATCAAGGGAATTACTTGATGTCTGCTATTTGGAGCAGTTCGCAGCTTTTTGATTCTTTTGTTTGCTCGTTTTTTCACTGGCTTTCTGGTTCAACGCGTCACTTGCTGAGTCGTTGTTTGTCTGTTGGCACAGAGAAAACACGCAAAACTGAGCCCCCCAATGCCCCGCAAGGGCCGAGGCTCCAAAAACTAAAACACAGCTGGCCGACGCCATTTGTGTTTAGACGGTATTTTTTTGGTATTATTTACAATAATCGAAATCCGTATTTTTGTGCTGCCAATAAACGGTCTCACTGTCACTTTTTAAGTAACTGCGACTGCGGCAAAATGTATAAATTATTAATCAAGCCCCATTTTGAAGCACATCTATCTGATCCTATCCAATCCAATTTCAATTCTTAGTTATATGGTTTACATAATAAATTTTCAATTTAGTGTTGAATAATTAGTGCAGTAATTGTTTATTTCGCCCGTGACTGTGACTTGCATTCATTTACAGCTACGCCGGCTGCGCTCATCTCTAATTCACGCACATCTGATTTGTTTTCTGCTAAACGTTTAACTGCGGAGAATTGTTTTATTTTCGCTGTTAATTGCGAAATGGTGAATGATAAAAAGCGGCGTTCACGTTCCCGGGAACGTTACAGAGACGAACGTGGCGCGGCCACTGCCGACAGAGATCGGGAGCGCGAACGGGAACGCGAGCGACAACGGGACAGAGATGCGCCGAGACACAGAGAGCGGGATCCGCGCGACAGGCAGACGGACAGGGAGAAGGAGCGCCGGCAGCGACGCTCGCGTTCCAGGCAAGTAAACAATTAAAAGAGTTATATGAAAATGATTAATAAAACCATTGCGTAGGGAGGAGCGTGCCAGACGGAACGGACGCTCGCCGGAGCGCCAGCGTCAGGTGCGCGAACGGTCGCGGGAGCGTGGAGCACGCAACGGCGAGCCAGAGAAGAAGCCCAAATTGGACAATTCGGCGTCCGTTAAGCCGGAAGATGAACAACTCGAACACAAAGGCGATGTCAAGCAAAAGAAGGAGCCGCTGTCACTGGAGGAGTTGCTGGACAAGAAGAAGCGCGAGGAGGAGGCGCGCAGCAAGCCCGTTTTTCTGACCAAAGAGCAACGTGCCGCCGAGGCGATCAAGCGCCGCCAGGAGGAGGTGGAGCGCATGCGCGCCGCCCGCGATGCCGCGCGGGATCAAATGCAATCGGCCAACAACAGCAGGACCATCAGCGGCATAGCCACAGCGTCGGCATCGCTGCCCGTCGCCATGGCGCCGCCGCCACCGGCGCCCTTGAAATCCGAGCGACGCGAACGTGGCGGAGATCGCGGCGGCGGCGGCGGCGGTGGCGGCGGGGGCGGTGAACGGGATCGCGACAGGGACAACAAACGTGTTGAGGATCTGACGCACAAGGACAAGGAGAAGGAACTGGAGGCCATACGCGAACGCTATCTGGGCATTGTGAAGAAGAAGCGACGTGTGCGACGCCTCAACGATCGCAAATTTGTGTTCGACTGGGATGCTGGCGAGGACACCTCCATAGATTACAATAATCTGTACAAGGAACGGCATCATGTGCAGTTCTTCGGACGTGGCAACGTCGCCGGCATTGACATCAAGGAGCAGAAGCGGACACAGAGCAAATTCTATGGGGATCTGCTCGAGAAGCGGCGCACCGAAGCGGAGAAGGAACAGGAGAAGGTGCGCCTGAAGAAGATGAAGCGCAAGGAGGACAAACAAAAGTGGGACGATCGACACTGGTCCGAGAAGGAAAATGACGAAATGACCGAACGCGATTGGCGCATCTTCCGCGAGGACTACAACATTACCATCAAGGGCGGCAAAATACCCAATCCCATACGCAGCTGGAACGAGTCCGGCTTTCCGCCCGAGATAATAGAGATCATCGACACGGTCGGCTACAAGGAGCCCACGCCTATCCAGCGACAGGCCATTCCCATCGGTCTGCAGAATCGCGATATTATTGGCGTCGCCGAGACGGGCTCCGGCAAGACCTTGGCCTTCCTCATACCGCTGCTCTCGTGGATTCAGTCGCTGCCCAAAATCGAGCGTCTGGAGGATGTGGATCAGGGCCCGTATGCCATTATAATGGCGCCCACCCGCGAACTGGCCCAGCAAATCGAGGAGGAGACCATCAAATTTGGCCAACCCCTGGGCATACGCACGGTCGTCGTTGTCGGCGGCCTGTCCAGGGAGGAGCAGGGCTTCCGTTTGCGTCTGGGCTGTGAGATTGTCATCGCCACGCCGGGTCGTCTGATCGATGTGCTGGAGAATCGTTATCTGGTGCTCAACCAGTGCACGTACATTGTGCTGGACGAGGCGGATCGTATGATTGACATGGGCTTCGAGCCGGACGTGCAGAAGATTCTCGAGTATATGCCGGTCACAAATCTCAAGCCCGACTCCGAGGAGGCCGAGGACGAAAAGAAGCTGATGGAGAACTTTTACACCAAGAAGAAGTACAGGCAAACGGTCATGTTTACGGCGACAATGCCGCCGGCTGTGGAGCGCTTGGCGCGCTCCTATCTCCGGCGACCGGCCACGGTCTATATCGGTTCCGTCGGCAAGCCGACGGAGCGCACCAACCAGATCGTGTACATGATGGGCGAGAATGACAAACGCAAGAAGCTCATGCAGATCCTGTCCGCCGGCATTGAGCCGCCGGTCATCATATTCGTCAACCAGAAGAAGGGCGCCGATGTTCTGGCCAAGGGCCTGGAGAAGCTCGGCTACAATTCCTGCACGCTGCACGGCGGCAAGGGCCAGGAGCAGCGTGAGTATGCTCTAGCATCGCTCAAAAACGGCTCCAAGGATATACTGGTGGCCACCGATGTGGCTGGTCGTGGTATCGACATCAAGGACGTCTCGCTGGTCATCAACTACGATATGGCCAAGTCCATTGAGGACTATACGCATCGTATTGGCCGCACGGGTCGTGCAGGCAAAACGGGCGTGGCCATCTCCTTTGTGACCAAGGACGACAGCGGCCTGTTCTACGACCTGAAGCAGTGCGTCACAGCCAGCCCGGTGTCCGTGTGCCCGCCCGAGCTCACCAACCATCCGGAGGCGCAGCACAAGCCCGGCACCGTCGTCACCAAAAAGCGACGCGAGGAGAAAATATTTGCTTAAGCTCACAAAAAGCTGAAACTAAATAAAAAAATATTTAAACTTGAGATGTGTTTCGCCAAAATGAACCGAATTTTATGCAGGATTTCTGGGCAGGAACATTAAAGATTATGTTTATAAGAAACGAGATTTGTTGGAAAGTTAAACAGGGTATTAAACAGGGTATTATAATTATTGTTAAAGGGTATTTTATTTGTTTTTCAAGAGTTTTTGATCAAACTTATAAATTAGAAACTTTTTATGATATACAAATCTTAACTACATTTAGAATCTAGATATATTCTTTGTGCTTGGCCAAGCTCCTCTAATAACAGTCTAATTTTTATATATCTATATCTTTAACTATATCGAAAGGTACCATGGGTAAAAAATTCAAGTTATTTTAAACATATTTTAACAAAATTCGTCTTCATTCAAATATTATTTACATGCGTTTACTTATATCCTATCCTAAACTTTAGCTTAGTTGAGAATATTATTTCGTAGCCCTGCCGTATTTGAACTAATATAATCTACAATTTATTTAGCAACTCATTTTGGCTGTTGTTCGACACGCACATTTAGGGGTATTCCCTATCTCATTAGCCGCAAGAAGAACGCGTTGCGACTTTGCTTGGAGTCCGGCGGCAAATACTTGTCATAGAAATCGAGGATGACCTCCTCAATCTTGAAGCCGAACTTCTGATACAACATGACCGCCGAATTGCTGGCCGAGACGTGGAGCGTAATGTCCTTGGACATGCAGGTCTGAATGAGATGGTAGAGCATGAAGCTGGCAATGCCGGCGCGCTGCCAATTGTGGCGCACGGCCATAAAAGAGATGTACGCCTCGTTGTAGCCCACGTCCGGCACGAGGAAGCCGCAGCCGATGACCAGCTTCTTGTAGAGCGCCACCACGCTGTAGTCCGGATAGCTGAGGCAGTCGCTCACTGGAATAGAGGAGAGATTAGGCCATGTATTTGTAGATAAGTGGAGTCCCAACTCACCATCAATGCCCGGCCAGAAGACGCTCTGGAGCAGCGCATTGACCGCCGGTATGTGCTGTGGTCGCACATAGCAAAAGTCGATGGTGGAGCGATCGGGATAGCAGCGATTGACGCGATACTGCAGCTCACACATCAGCTGGAGCCAGGGAGGACCCATGCTCTGGTTGCGATAGATAAACGGATGCAGCACGCGCTGCGTATAGGGCGACTCGAACAGCTCGTATTCGGTGTGGCCCGCAATGCGTGCATAGAAGGAGCTGCGATTGCTGGGATTGCCCTGCTCCAGCAGCTGATAGCGATCCAGTATTTGGGCCTGTTGCTGCTTGGCCAGCTGCCGGCGGGCACGCGCCGTGGGATCGATATGCTCGTCCAGATTAAAGATGGGTCGATTGTGCTCCCGCTTCCATTGGCGCACGCACAGCTTGCGATAGAGACGCCGCACATAGGCGGGCACATCGCCCTGCTTGTGCGGTTCCAGCGCGAAGATTTTGTGCAGCTGCTGCTGCAGTTGCTCCTCCTCCTGGACGTTCATGAGACGCAGTTGCTGCTGCTGCGGCGCCTCCGATTGCAGCTCCGGCTCCTCCTGCTCGGTCTCCTGCAGCCAGGGCCAGTTGCGACGCGGCTGTCTAACAAAACCACTTGGCTTGCACGGCTCCAGGCAAATCTCTCTATTGCTGCTCGCTGGCGGCTCCAGTTCCGCGTCTTCCGTCTCCTCCTTAACCTCCGGCGGCTCCTCCTTGATATCTGGCGGCTGCTGCTGCTGCTGCTCCTGTGCCTGAAAATTGGTCACCTGCACTATGCGCGGCTGGTAGCTGTTGCTCTCCTCCTCTGCCGGCTGCTCTGTTTCCATGGGCTCCTCCTCGCTTTCGGAGGAGCTGCTGCTCGACGACAGCTTTGGCTGCTGCAGTTTTGGCACCAGCTCGGGCTCCTCCACTGGCGGCAAACCAAAGTTATTTTCCAGCTCAAACAGGCTGGCGCTATTACCGGGCGCCTCGAGCAGCGCATCGGACATGAAAAAGTCGCCTTTGTCGCCGGCGCCAATTAGCGGCGGCGGCATAAACATGCTCAGATCATCGCCACCCAAGCTCTCGGCCAGAAAGTCCATCAGGCTGGCCTGCACGCTGCTCAGCGGCTGCTGTTGTGCGGCCTCCTCCAGCGTTTCCTCCGGCTGCTGCAGCTGTTCCTGCTGCTGCAGCTGTTCCTCCGGCTGCTGCAGCTGCTCTTCCGGCTGCAGCTGCTCCTCCTGTTGCAGCTTGGGCAGGCGACCCATATAGGGACTGTGAAGAACATATTTAAATAAATTTGTTAAGTCATCATAAGATCTGGGCGCTTACATGGCACGCGCACAGCCCTCGCTGGGCGGCGACAGGCCTTCTGCCGTTTCCTCCGTTGTGACGGATGCCTGTGCATCGCTCAGATGATCTGTGACAGACAAATCGCTGCCGCAGCTGTTTTCGTCCAGCGCTGGCGCCCGGCGATCTGTGCGCAGCTGCTGACGCTCCAGCAGGCGCTGCTCATCTGCAAATGGAATTTTTATATAAACTCTTTAATTTATTCTACGCCTGATGCACACTCACATTCTGCGCGCACGCTACGCGGCGTTAAATTGGGCTTGGCCAGTCGCCACCAGCCGTGCTCCAGGCACACGCTCACGCCGGACTGAAAGTATTCCGGGCTGTTGTGCGACAGAGCGCCGGAAACGGAACCAGCCCATTGCTTGCGGCGGCGTCTGTTGGTAAGAGGAGTTTATGTTAGCCTTGGTCTTTTAGCTACCGGAACTTGCCCCTACTCACACACGCGGCTCGAATATGTAGTTCCAGTTCTTGTCCACGAAGCTGATGATGTGCGTCCGCCAGTGGAAATAGCCATGATGGCTCAAGCCCTTCGACTTTATGGACAAATTGTAGAGCGTCAGCGTCAACACCAGCAGCCAGGGTATGCGCTGGCGTACGAAACGCTCCTTGGGCACGTCTTCGCCCGCTGTTGGCTCCAGCCGCACGCATTTGATGCACGTGAAATCGAAGAACACATCGCCCAGCAGATCGCCCGGCGTGCTCGCATGTGGCAAACACTTGATGTGCACGCTCTGCTCACACTTCTGGCAATCCAGATAATTGTCATCCTCTATGGCAGTTTGACAGTAATCGCATCTCGTTTCGGTTTCAGTTTCATCGGCCGCATTGGAACGCGGCATTGTGCACGCTTAAAACATGTGAAACTGTTTTGATAATAACAATTTCGTGCGCCGCTTTCTTGAAATGCTCGCGGCGTTGCCACACTGTGCGAAATACCAAAAATGCTGCTTGTGGGCAACAAGTTGTGCTAGGTATGCAGCTCATGACTGCATGCTGTAAATACTATTTTCTGTTTTGGTATTTTGCTTTCGCAGCGTACTAGCCAGAGCATTAAGTAACTTTTGGATGGTATTTTAAGTATTAAGTATATGGTATTATTTGAAGTTTTTAACTGTAAAATTTTAAATTTTTTATCCAACAAATGTTTCCTTATTCAAACTTTGCCATATGTTTTGTATCTATAATGGTATATTGTTATATTTTTCTTAAATTGTTGCGAGGACTTCATTTTGGGCATTATTTGCTTTCTCATCCGTTGTTAATGAGTCGAATGCCGCTTGCAACGTCAATCACAGGCAACAGCCAAGCACAAAAGGCGCCGAAAATTAACTGCATATGCATTTTGCATATGACGGCGGCTTTGATTGACAGCCAGCTGCACCCCCGCCATCCCCGCCAGGACATAGTGCGGGTGAGTATAGAGTACTCGGCCGTGTCTACTGCAGCCGCTTGCACAACGCAAAATGTCATTAATGGGGTCTTTTGCGGAGGCTTACGCATAATTAAGGTCGGCAACGGTGTTGGCGGCGACGGCGACGTCATCGTTGGCTTTGGGCCTGCTCAATGTTGTCTTAAGCGGCTCTAATTAGCCATTTGCTGTTGTTGACGATTTGGTCAAGTGGATGATTGGTTTAACTGCTGCAGCAGATAGGGGTGGGGTGGCGTGGTGGCATGCTGCTGCCCCAATAAGCATGCTGTGAAAATTGCATTGCGCTTTCCATTTTCACATTTCACTATTTATTTCAGTCACTTTTTCTGCAACTGCTGCTATTTCTATTGCTTGTTGCTGCTGTTGTTGTTGTTGTTGTTTTTTTTTTCTGTTTGTTCGTTTTGTTGCACTTTTCCGCACAACTTTTCAGCAGTTTTTCATTTTATTCTCAATGCAACAGCCCAGCACGCCTCTGCGTCCATTGTGACTTGTTATGCCTTTTGGCACTTGAACGAGACACAAAAACAGCAACAAAACAAAAGGGAAGAAGGCGCCTAACGAGGGTGCTTGACGGCTATATACCCTGTAGTAAGAGTGCAATACAAAATAATGCAAATATTTTAATAATAGTATATACCAATGCGAGTATATCAGTAAATGTAGCGCATTGACAATTCAAACTCCTTTTCAACCCTTTTTATCTTCTAACATTTGTTTACTTTTAAGTAATTGAATATTTTTTCGTCTAAGCGATTCTCCTTTTACACAAAAGTAATAACAATTATTTGGCTTTATGCTTTTGACCCCGTTATGTTCACTGCTTACACCAGAGAGCGTGCATTGTGAATGGTTTGAATGGTGAGAGAGGTAATTGATATGCTTATTGCCTTCACGCCATTGGTCGTAACGCTTTTGATCCCATTATCTTAGTTGAGTATCCAGCCGCAGCGAGCATTGTGCATGCTGTGAGCGCAGGAGCTTAAATAGTTGTGTGCTCTTAGTTGTTAATGTGTTAGTGCGAATGCCGGCTTAGCGTAGGCGTCGGTCTAATGAGGCAATTCAGTCTGTGCGCGTCTGTCGTATTGATCTGTTGTGTTCTCTGCGCGTGTGCAACAAATCGTTTACTAACTGAGTTAAATTAATTAAATCATTAAATGCGATTAGGTCATGCTGTGTGTGTATTTGTGAAGTACCATATTAAAGAATCTTTCAGCTATTCTACGCACTTGAAATTATGTTTGACAGCCGGTAAAGTACGCGCCGTTTTGTGATGCTTTTTGGCGCGCTTTTGAGTTGAAGAAAGCGTCAGTGAGTGAGAGAGAGAGAGGAATGTGAAGCTGTTCTTTAGCAGGTAATTGTGCTCTTATATTAATTTTTTTTTATTCAGCTAGAATACAGTTAGGTGATTGTTTTTCTTTTTACACGCTTACAAAGGGTATTATACTTTTGTGTAGAAGGAGGCATCGCCGACCCCATTAAATGCCCTTTTTCTTGATCGGGATCTATCAGAATAATCGTTTGGTGTATTATATCTTTGTCGTTAGTATTTTTATTAGAATGGGATGTATCTATAGACTGTTAATAATTTTTTTATATTACCATATCCATGGACTCAAATACCATATCCATAGCCTGGGTTTCAAAGTCCACTCTCGGGTCCTTAATCCTTGACTGACTCAAATCGTAGCCCACTTCAATATACCCCATTCGCTTACCCAAAACGCAGCGCATAAAAAATTGCAAACCAAATTTCATTTTTGTCGCTTGAAGCTGCCGATGCGGCAGATAAAGCCGACAATTTCGCAAGTTGCCACGAAAAGGAATTCGCACTACAGAGTGCAGCAGACGCAGAGTCCACACTGGCCACAAGTGCTCCCACAACTACTCCCGCTGCCCACCCACAGCCCCATCCCCATTCTCAAATCAAACGAGAGTAACGAGCTTTCCAGGCGATTTAATGGCCAAACAGCGGGCACATTCCGCACAAAGGCAAACAAACGGCGTCTGGCTGTCATTTAATCGAAGCCATTAGCGTTATTAGTACCAGGATCGTGACCAGCTCCCACTCCTGCTCCCACTCCTTCACCTAGTCCTTCGCCTACTCCCAGGCCTGACTGGCGGCCAGGTAGAGGGCAAACAGCGTCTGGATATTGTGTATGTAATCCGATTGGGTCTCGAGTGGTCCCTCCACGCCGAAGCGTTCGCAGAGCACACGCACATAGTCGGCCAGCGAGATTTGCTGCTGCAGACAGGCGCGATAGGCCTCGTCCAGGGCATCCTTGGTGGCCGCAGCGCCAAAGGAGCGCGGCCAGTCCAGCAGCAGTGCATCGATATCCTTGCGGGGCTGCGCATCGTACATGGCCTGCGTCATGTGCACCTGCTCGACCTCGCCAATCCACTTTTCGATATCCTTGCCAGACTTGGCCGTGGGCACCAGCGTGGCGGAGTAGGCGCCATGCCGGGCATTGTCGCCTCGGCTGCCGCTCAGCACCGAGCGCATCTTGATGTTCATCAGACTCGGTTCGCTCTGTGCGCCCGACGGCTCGTCCAGCAGCATTAGGCCCAGGCGCTGCAGCTGCTCGTCCAGCTCGCGTTGCCGTTGCGGCTGCAGCAGCGCCGGCGCCTGCACCTTCAGCATGGCGTCCACATCGCCCACGGCGGGCACGAACTCCGGTATGAAGGGCTGCAGATGGTACGGCGTCTCGATTGCCTGCGGCGTATACTTGAGTATGTACGGAAAGAGCTCCTTTAGCTCCGGCTGCAACGGCAGCTGCTCCCATTTGTCCGGCGTCAGATTAAATGTGGACACCTCCTGCCCGGCGCTGCGCTTCTGTTGCGTGGGCAGCGGCAGCTTCTGGTGCGCCAATTTGGCGCCTGTTGGCGCTTGCTCGCCGGTTGCCTCGTCGGAGCTGCCGAAGCTCAGGTGATCGTCGGCGATCATTGGCTGCGGCCCTTTGGCATTTCGTGTGCTGCCCGGACGTGTTTGGGGGCGTGGCACTGGTGCAGCAATGCCGCCCAGCTGCAGCTCGCTGTCGTCGTCGTCGTCTTCGCTGTCGTCGGCCTCATCGTCGTCGTGATCTATGATATCCTGCAGCAGTCCGTCATCGTCCGCGGAGCTGCCCTGCATCTGCTGTGGATTAAACGGAATTTAGTGGAGGTTGCTTAAAGGATTGGAAGCTATGACAATGGGTTGAATCAGGATTGAAGGAGATTTAAAATATCACAAAACAGATTTCCGCTCATTTTCCACTTGTCTCACCTTATGGAACATTATCATTAGCTTGGTAAATTATGTGTCACGCACTCATCTCTAGCTCTAACGTATCGCATTGGGCTCACGAGTATCGCACAGTGCTTTCTTCGCTAATCTATTTACCCATCACTAGCTGTCGCTGCCTATGCTCACGCACGACTCACGAGCCATCTCATACTGTCATCCCTATATATCGCTTGCCAAGAACTCTCCAGCATGTCTTACGAACATCGCACTTACTTTTCAATTATTACACGCACCCATCTCTAACAAACTTTTCTAGCTAACGCTTGTTCAGAATACTTACGTTAGTTTCAGGCACGACTCACGCTCCCATCTCTAGCTCTCGCTGGCTACTTACCATATGACGCTGCCTACCGCCCGCCCGCTGTCCGCCCGCCGCACCGCCCCTTCCAGACTGTCGCTCCGTTTGCATGCTGCTGAGATGCTTGCCATCCGCTGGTCCGCTGATTGTGATCTCCTCGTCGTAATAGTTCATGGTCCTGGCGTTGGGGCGTGGCACCGCAGCCTCTGCTTCTTGTTGTTATTGTTGTTGTCGTCGGTTTTTAATGATTTTTCAGCACCTATTTTTGCGCACTTCCGCACAGCTTTTCGCCGAATTCGTGATACACTTGTTGGGAAATTTTGCTGTTTTTCTTTGCAGGTGCGTCGCTTTTCCTTTCTGCTGTGGCCTTTTTCCTACTGAGCTGCTCTACCTGCAACAACTGTCAATTGCTTGGGCCCGCGGGTTGTCAAGGCAACCAACCTGCCCGTCTATTGTTGTTGTTGTTGTTGTTGTTGCTGTTGTTGTTTTCTGTGTTGGCCCGGCTTACTGATATGTTTTTCTACCGAAACTCTCGGGCTGTCCGTCCGTCCGTCCGTCCGTAGCTGTTTGGTTTTAATTACACGAAATGAAAATCTGAATTTTGCAAATACCCTGCCAGCACTTCAGTTGTCCTCGGTGCGGACCTTTTGTTGTTGCCTGTGAATATTGTGAGTATTCGAAATTGAGTTAGTACCTCATTCAAATGAATGAGCCACAATGTGTCTGCGGGCCAATTTGTCGGCATAGCTTGTCGTGTTTTTATTAATGAATACTATTTTCGGAGTTTTTCAAAGGGGTTTATGGCTGAGCAACTGTGTACGACATTTATTTACGTACCAAATAATTGCAGCTGGCGCCTGTTAAGAGATCTTAATAGGGGTTTGTCTATCGTGTATAATAATTATAATTATTTGAACTGATTGTAATTACCTTAAATAAAAGATTTATTTGTCGAACCTTTTATGTATTGTCCACAAAACATGGGAATGAATCATTTAATGCGTAATTACTAATATATCAGATGTTCCCTAAATTCCATAAAGTCCAGATAAAATGATTATTCATATAGTTGAAAACTTTTTATACTCTCGTAAAGTCTGTCTTCCCTTTAAGTTTTCAATCTATCATATGTCTATATATTCATGAAATATATCAAAGTTCTGCCTTTCTGTGCATATGCTGTAACATGCTGGATCGAATCAGTATATCTTATAGCTACCATAGGAATGATCTGTCCAAAAAATAAGATCTTGTATGAATACTGGTTTTGTTTTTTTCAAGATAAAGTGACCATGAGCATTTCCGACTTTAACCATACGGTTTAGATATGAGTTTAGTCTTATCAACATCGGACTACTATATAATAAAGGCAGAAACGATTGAATACTAAATTTTTTTATGGACGTATTCTATTTCGAGACAAATTAAGCAATATTAGCAATGAAAAGCTACAACATTTTTGTATTATTTATTAATTTTTAATTTATTCATATTAACTTCTATTATAAACTCAATCCCTCGCCTACTTCCCCTCACAGCTACGACAAGCTGTGCGTTCATACAACGGCAAAACCCCTCCACAGCAGCGACGCCCGTGCACGCAACTGGCGCTCGAACGTGTTGCGGTTCGAACAGGTTTGATGCGCTGTGCTAGACGCAACGAACAAATATGAAAACACAACACAAAATATTTGCTGCTTTCATTCGGTTTTGGATACTCGCGGTGTGCGTTACGTTGCGGCTGTTGCGTGATTTTTAAATCAATTTCAAATCAACAAAAAATACGCTAAAATTTTCCCGGTGTTTTTACGATAATCAAATAACAAACGAGTGCTTGATTTTTGTGCGAACAACAAGTCGTATTAAGCCCAAAAATCAAAGTGCGAAAGAAGTTCGAGTGTAGAAGAGAGAGAGAACGCGATTTAGCGGGTGCGAATCTAAGAGAAAAAAGATTGTTAAATCCATAAGCAACAACACACGTAATTAACGCTAATTAAGCCGGTCAATTGCTTTAATTACGCGGTTAATTTTGCATTAAATCTTGCGCAACTCCAAAGATATTTTTGTATAATACAACGTTAATTAATAGCGCGCCTTTCACCTCTCCGCCCCCGCCCAACCCCCCCGCTCGTTCGACTAGACTTCATTAATAGCCGTGAAGCTGGTGCTTGTGTGTAGGTGTGCGTGTGTAGGTGTGTGTTGTGCCTTGTGACTGGCAGAATTTTCATTATCAGACGCTAAAAGGATTACGAACCCGTTCATCTTCATCAGGAGCAGCAGCCCAGCCAAATATTTGCCAACATCCGCAAACGGTATGTTGATGCCCCTTTAACCAACACTGCACCCGCGCAGCTCCCGCACCCCTTGCACCCCCGACAGATTCGCTGCTTTATGTGTTGCTTTTCACGCCTACCTTATAGACCCCCTCCCCCTGCCCCTACCCCTTTCCCCTCCTTGACCCGCCGGCGTTTGCCTCAACAAAATGTTTTATATGCGCGCACATTTAAAAAAAGGGCCACCTCTGTACCCTATCACAACCCCAACCGCCCCCCACCCCCACCCCCATTATCAGCCACTCTCGACCCCGGGTCAGCATAGTGTCGGCCGTATTGTTAGCTTAAACTGTGCTTTGTGCCGTTAACCGAAACCTGCCCCAAAACTTGCGCAATAAAATCAAATTGTTTTGAATTATTGAGATCCAGAATTTGGTAGCCCTTCGTTTGCGCCTCTGTTTTTTTTTTATGCCCCGAAAATTATTTTTTAAAAAAAAAGGGTATATTTGAGTTGAGTTAAGGTCAGAGGGTTGGATCTATGACTAAAGTTTGTATATATACTTGATCCGTATTAAAAACCAAGCCGATCTAGCTATTTGTTCCTTTTCGAATATTCGATAAGTAATACCCATTTGCCCGAACTCTATAAATATCTTATTGCAACTTAAGATTTTTTATCATATCTAGGATATCACAAAAGCTGAAAACTTCTTCTTTAACAATTAGGGCAAATGTTTATATGTGGCATACGCAGATTCAATATATATATACTTTTTCAAAATTTTCCAATTAAAATTCTTTGAGTAACAGCCTTGATTTTTGGCATATACCCATATTTGGATGCCATATTTGAAAGCCTTAAATATGATAGAAATCGATCAACGAATACAGAAGTTATTTAAGATTAACTTTTATATATTATGGAGCTTTGGGAAAGAAGAGACATAAACTCGAAAGTTCGTTTAATTTATGTTACGGCAGCTGTTGTCGGCTTGCAGGGTATCTGCGAGTCGTGCACTCTCGCCAACAACTTACTTGTATTTAATATAATTTATATTTGGCGCATTTATGGCCAACGGACAGTGTTCATTGTCGGTTGGGTTCTGCTTGGGCTCTGGCACATATGGAGAGTTTCAGGACTCGAATCGGTGTCTGGGGCATTAACAGTTAACATGTTGCGGTCTTTTGATTGCTGAAAAACTCTTCTTCTTTTTGGTTTTTTTATCAGCACATAAAAGGGTCCAAGTGGTTGCCCCTTTTTATGCACTGCGAATTGGAAAACAGTTTTGGGAAAATTGGGTGCGCTACAGAAAGTTTATTGTCTGGAGCTGAGCTTATCAACGGGCTGCATATATATATATATATATACATGTACTTGGACACATATAAAGTTTCGGTTTAGTCGGTTGGAGTTTTGATAACAGTTTTTATGGCCTGGGCTTGGCCATGCACTTATGTAAATGCAAATCAACAGACGCTGGGTTCAGTGCACTTAAAAAAAATACATATACGAACTTGGGTAGTACTGTGTTTTTTACATGTAAAGAAATTTGAGATGATTAAACAAATTTTATTAAATAATCATTTTTTGTTATGAAAAATATAATGAAAGGTCTTGCTCATACATAAAGATAACTTATCAAGTTTATTTATTTATATTTGTTTTGTTATATTTTTATATATTCTATTAATAAATTAATTTAATTTGTTTATTTTTATTTGCTTACAATTTACTTCGTATATATTTTTTTTTTTGTTATATATATTTATTTATTTTTTCTATTTCTATTATTTTATAACTTTAATTTGCTATTTTATTTATTTTATTATATATTATTACTATATGTATATATTTAAATTCGATTTATTTTTTAAATTTATTTATATTTTTGGAATTTATTAGTTATTTTCGTTCTTTTTGGAGCGAAAGTGTCCGTAAAATGTCTGCTTAAATTATAAATCTAAAACCGGTTTAATATATTCTATAATTTCTTAGTTCTTAGTTCTATTTTTATTTTGTGAGGAATTCGCAAAAATTTCATTAACGTAATTTTATCTTGACGCCTGCTTTCTTTATTTTATTCATATTAGTGCGATCCAAATTTATTGGATTAAGAAATATTTAACATTATAATATAATACAAAATAAATGTTGCTTAATTTTAGAATATTGTTGAAGCGTGTTGAATAAAGCGAATATTAGAATTATTTTTTGTACCCTTCTAGAGTGTATTATAATTTTGTCGTGAAATGTGTAACGCATAGAAGGCGACTTCTCCGACATCCTAAAGTATATATATTCTATATATTCTTGGCAATTAACAGCTCTTCAATTAATGAAAAAGAATATCTAATGATTAGTTGATGAATGTTTTTGGCTTTTGCAACTTTTTTTTCACCAGCCAAACGAAAAGGGGAATCCCAAAAGTCGAAAGTCGCTTGCTTCTTTATTTTTAAAGAGTAATAAATCAAATGCTCAACGCAGAAGTCTTATTTATAGACCTATGAAAACACCTGCGTTTTAAAATTGTATTTTAATTAAACGTATTTTTCAACAATATTCTTCAAAGTTAATTAAGTTATCTAGCTGCGTGCAGTCAATGTGAACTTCAACATTTGGTAGACATATAGTTTGATTAGTTATTTACAACCTTGGCCACAATCAATGGCCAACAGATTCTGGCCAATCAATTTACCTGGGATATTGATATCTGCGTTTCATTACAAAATAAATCCAATTTCCTGACCTTATGGTTGAGGTCAGGCCGTCTTCCTGCTTGATTTGTCGGTCTGCCACATTTGATGAGCAGCTAATTAATTTCCATTGAAGTTCATGCCAAATACTCTCTATATAGAGATATAGAGTGGGCGGAAGGAGGGGTAGCTGGGCGGGGCTTGGTCTCTTGAATATTGGCCAATATAAATGCCATTGCTTGCGGACGTTTTTATTTGCAATTTGCGGTCTGTTTCATTGTAATCTTTTATGATGCAGTCTAATGTTTTTTTGCCTCAATGCTCATAACTTGCCCGACCTATTTACGAAAATTCGTGGCAGGGTCTGCGGGCCTGAAAGCGCCTAAAAGTGAGCAGTACTTGGCTGTCCACTTTCTTTTTCATTGTCTGTTCGCTTATCGCAGTCGTTTGCCTTCGCCTAAGCATTTTTATGTCTGTTTTGCTTTGTCTCCTCTTTTTTTCGTGTACCCTGTGCGGAGGGTAAATGCCTAAAAGAGGATATGATGGTTATGAGACTTCATTAAGAAGGGAGGGCTGAAATTTTGGAATATGGATTTACATATTCTTCAGCTCATCCTCAGCATATCCAGAGTTTATGAAAGTTATTGCCATCAATAGAATATATAGAATATATTACTAGATACCTTCCCAATACATCGCCTGAAATCAGTCGAGAACTGTACGAAGTACAGCCTTGATTTTAAGTACCTGCACATATGAGACCCTCAACTTGAAGATCTGAAAATTTGACAATAATCGCAGCAAAAACAGATGAGTTATTTAAGACAGATTATTTATTAGGGAGAAAAAAGAGCGCAGCTTGCGACGTCTGAGCTCAGGGCATCTCCTAGCCGTGCATACCCGACTAACAGCTTACAGGGCATCGCCTAGGCGTGCATACTCGACTTAAGGCTGGTTTATCCTCTATGTAGGCTTAAGGATGCTCTCCGCCTGGTGCTCTGAGAAGGAGTCCGGGATAATCATCAGCATGCGCGGCCATGTTCTCAAGTTCGTTGTCGTTTCAAGTTCAGCGAAAGTGAAACGTGTCGGGTATTTGGTTTTCGTTTTAGTGTTTGGGGCGACTTTTGCATAGGCTAGCGAGGGAGGGGCGGGTGGGGAGGGGGGGGGGGGTGTATTGGGTGTGTAGAGGGGCTTGCTGGCAGAGCTATAAAAATAAAAATTGTTTGTGGAAAGTTCGTTTGGCAATTTGATTTGAGTTGCAGTCACAGTCACGCTACGTAGCACACACTCACACACACACACACGCACACACACACACACACATTTACACACGCACAACAAAGCCAACGACAAAGTTTGCCAGACCCGTCACAACACATAAAGCGATAAGATGCCGAGCAGTAGGCTCGAATTATGTTTGACATTTTCAGCCAGATTGGTTTTTATTTAAATTAGTTTCGAATACATGTTGTAGGCCTAGAATACACAGCTACCCCTCCCCCTCCCCCTTCCCCTTCCCATCAAGCTGTCTGTGCGCTCGCTGAAGTGTAAAAACAAGTTTGGGAGAAAAATGAAAAAGAAAATAAGCAAAACAAATTGATTTTCAGTTTTTTTTTTTTGTTGAGATTTGCAAAAAAGTTTTAGATAAAAGGGTACATCAAGTATTTTATAATGAACTGTGACTTCATATTGGCCCATTAAATTCACATTAAGATATTGCGGAAAAAAACTTATTGCTTACCCAGGGAAGTTGAGCTTAGACTAGATCTATATTCAAGATTTAATTCTAATTAGATTTATTATACCCATTAAAAATGGGTCAAAAGGGCTATAATGTATTTGTGCAAATGTATGTAACAGGCAGAAGGAAGCATCTCCGACCACATAAAGTATATATATTCTTGATCAGCATCAAAAGCCGAGTCGATCTAGCCATGTCCGTCTGTCTGTCCGTCCGTCCGTCTGTCCGTATGTGTGAACGCAAGGATCTCGGAACCTATAAGAGCTAGAGATTTGAAATTTTAGCTGTAGGTCCTCCTAGTCCCCGCGCAGATCGAGTTTGTGTCCGATATTCGATAACTTGTCCCGTTTCCAAGTAATCGATAAAAATCGATATCGAAATCCTGTTTGTTGGGTAATTTCGGTAAATAATATGAGCTAGAGTTACCAAACTTGACATATCAAGCATCTTTCATATTATACTTACCTTTCGCCTGTTGGAAGAAGAGGGTTCAGGGTATCCCCTAGTCGGGAGCTCCCGACTAGAACCTCCTACTTGTTTTGCCTCATTCTCTACTTTTATGCTGCCTCAGCTGCTGCTCGTGCTCGCTTCAGATAAAGTTCCT